ATGAGCTCGAGTCACCGCTGGGGGCGCCAGAGAGATGAGTAGGCTCTGTGATCCCAGCGCTCTGCACTCCGCTTGTGTCACTCGGAGTCATCACATGCCGGAACTTCTAGGGGATCACAGCCGTGATCGATCTCTATCAAATATATATATATTTTTTTTAATCAATTCCTGGATTTTATATACAGCTCTATTCACACTATCGGTTCAGCCACAGCCTTTAAGGAGCTCCCGGTCTAAAGACTGTATCCGATATGCATACAGGGAGGGGACAAGCAACCTGCCAGCATGTCTCAGGGGTGTGGGAGGGAACATGCAGACTCCAGGCAGATGCTATTCTGTGTGAGTTGAGCTTCAGCCATGCTACAGGGCGGACTTGCAGTACAACTTTTGTGTACAATCTCTTAAGTTCACCACACACTTTACAATCTGATTTGTACACTTATCTTTAGATCTGGTAACTGTGTAGTGCGAGGACCTGTCTGGATACAATTGATTGGCTAAATCAGGCAGGTATTATTACAAAGCTTTGGTATATCTAAAGTTGATTGTACAAGGATTCTATGACTGCATTGTCAGATTGTAACATGTATGGAGACCCTTAGATCTACCTGATTAGGTTTACTAGATCTGCATATAATCTAGACCTGTCTCTGCTGTCCACTCGGCTCTAAGGGTCGCCGTACTAGTTACAATATTTGTACAATCGACTTTAGATTGATGAAGTCTCCAATTTCTAGGCTTACACTATCCAAAGATGATATACAGTCAGATAGTAACGTGTGGTGAATGTTCAAACTGGTTCCAATTACTGAGATATAAGACAGCCATATGAATGCATGCCATCATGTCTGTTACAAACACTAAAGTAGATGTCATCACTAACTACATGATATTCATTCTGCTAAAGCACGGTGTTGCATTTTTTTCATTAAAATGGCTTTGTTGCATCAATTTATGAATGCCGATGCAGCCACATCCTTTTTACATCTTCCTAATGGTGACAACAGAGGGCTATGTCTGTTCCCTGTTTCACCACTGCTGTTTCAAGTCAGAGGTGCATGTAACAAGAGTGGGATCATGTATTCTACAAATTAAAAAGAAGAAAACCTGAGTAACTTGTGAATTTTGACATTATATAGCTTTTCTCCAACATTGTAGTAAAGGGGTTTCCACATACTTTCCATCTAAACCCCAATCACAAATATCACAAGCTTTGTAGTAATGTGACTCAAGTCGTAACTCTCATTCACTCGCTACTTGTGTCTTTGCTCTATATGCAGAGAGGTATCTGTTGGGTTACAAGCTGTTTATACTTGTAGATGTATTTATGTGCATTTACATGCATATGTATCTGGTATCAAAATGCATTTGTGCATTGTCGTGTGTTTAGAAGTTAAAATCAATTTCTAGATGCACATGACTTCTATTTTCTTTTTTTCTCTCCTGACTGCAGATAGAAGCTTCTAAATGCAACATGTGAATCGATCCATTGGAAATCAATTAGATACATATACAGGCATGCATACATACATACATACATACATACATACATACATACATGTAGCCTTAAATCTTCAGCTGTTTCTAAAGTGATAGCTGGTGATCTTGCCATGAAGGCCCTTTTTGCACATCTTGCTGTGTATTTGGTCAGGCAGAAAAAGTTGGAAATCCAATGAGTCCATAGCAGTCAGCCATGTTGTGGTATGCCAGCACTGACAACACAGAAGTCCAGTTGGGAAATGTACCATACTAACAAATAGTTATGCACTGGCATGGTTTACTGTTGTCACCATTTGGGAGCCAGCCCTTTGAAATGCCCTACTGCAATTTCTGGAAGTGGCTGCAAAAAACCTGCAGGAGATGAGCGCGTAGATGCAGCTGAAAGAAATGAGGTCAAACATAGGGATATGTAGTCAGGCAGCATGACATGTAAATGTGCAGTTTTACATTTGTGACATTCTTGATTGCTGCCAAATCAAGAATGTCCTGTACTGTCAGCACACTGATACTCCAGCCGCTGCTCTCCCAGTGTTTGGGGCAGTGTGCTCTGAGAACAATGATTCGGGTCTACAATGGGCTCTCAAATCAAGAAGATCCCATCACACTCTTGAGTGGTTTATCCACTGCGCTTATTCCGGTGGGTGCTGCGGTGACGAGAGGCTGGCGCCATGTGCATTAGAAACAAGGTGGGCCAGCACAGATATCCACAATATGCATTTTGTCTATTGACATCAGATATTCATGACATCTCGGTGTAACACTTTTCATTGTGATGCCATGGATATCTGACTTCAATAAGACAGATTGATATGTTGGACATTGGGTTGCTGGTGACTTCCTTGTTTCCAATGGGCTGCCAATACAGGACAGTTTGCTATAGTAGACAAGCACAAAGATGCACACCTAGTTTTCTATGCTGCTGATCCCATTCAAACAAAGCTTCATTGGGCATTTAATAGCACCAATGTCACCCGGTTAGAGTTTACATTTACTTTAGATGTTCCAGTTTTCATTTTAATGTAAAAGTTTTTCTCACACTTAACCAAAATGTATAAAACTTTGATGATATTTGGTATTAACTAGCAAAGGCTGCAGATCTTATGTTTTCTGCATTTCTTTTTTAGGTTTCAGATTCTGCTAAACAATGGCCCGTACAAAGCAAACTGCCAGGAAGTCAACTGGAGGAAAGGCTCCCAGGAAGCAGCTGGCTACTAAAGCTGCAAGAAAAAGCGCTCCCTCCACAGGGGGTGTTAAGAAGCCCCACAGATACAGGTAACGTCTGTCTTGATGGTGAGCTGTGGAGTCATCAGTATTAGAACTGGTTGTTGTGGACTGCGATGTGATGAACCTAACACTTGCGGCTTTCTCAATGTCTTGGGGCCGTTCACATTATTGTGCTGTATTGGTGCATGTTATGACATGTTACCTTGCTGGCTAATACAACAAAAATGATGCATGTAGGATTTTTGGCATTGCATCATATGTTGAGCTGCAATGGAGGTCTGTTGGGAAGGCGCCCTCTGGTGTTTGTTAGAATGAAGAGCACTGCATTGTACTAAGATGTGTTAAACATGTTTTACCACATGTGGTGATCACCATTCTAGTGTACCTTTCCATGACTTATAAATGCATCTCTAGTTTTAATGAAGCAATGCCAAAGGGTAAGCTGGGTGGGTCAAAGTAGCCAGGGGATGTTTGATTCAGTGTCTGTAAACTGACAAATGCCAGTCCTGTATTGGCTGCCCCCCATTACCAGTGGCCTTTATTTTGGTTTTCAGAAATGATTTATTTACGTTCTAAACAAATGTGTTGCTTTCAGGTTGGTCAGCTGTCTGACTTGTTTAGGCAAAAATTTGCACACTGTTGGTGATTATCGGTGGCCATACTTTTGTCATTGCTGCCGACCTGTTTTTAGTAGTTGGGTCATCATTGGGTTGAGCAGTTTTAATAGGGTTTTCTCACTCTTGCCTTTTATGGTTTTACCGATAAATAGTAGGGCTGCAACAACTAATCGACATAATCGATTATAATCGATTATTGAAAAAGTTGTCAACTTTTTCAATCGATTAATCGGCTTCCGATCAGTTGGCCCTGTACACAGCTCCACACACGCTGCGCGCCGCAATATTGCACACCACACTTTTTTTTTTTTTACTTCCACCGCTTGCTCCTGTGATGGACTACAATCTCAATACAAACTAGTAGTCCATCACTGGAGCCATTTTTAAAAAATGTATTTTATTGTTTATCCGATTAATCGAACTTAATCGGCTAACTGATTTTGAAAATAATCGTTAGCTGCAGCTCTAATAAATAGAAAGGCTTTGTTGGTCTAAATTGCCCCAATTATAGAAAATGTCATTGCTCTCAACTTGCATTGCAGAAATCTTATCTGATATAACATGGTGTTGTGGTGACCTGTCTGTAGTCCTTGTGACTGGGATTCAGATTGGGTTGATCTTTTCAGACATGGCATTGGTATATTTTGTGCAATTAACCGCTGGCTTCACCATGCTGGTGTGCTTCTTTGAGCAGCGGGAGATCATTTATCTTGCTGTAATACATTCTCACTCTAACTACATTTGGGTTGCCTTTTCTTGCTATACTGTAGTCTTCCCCCTCATTAGATGGCAGCAATCATATTTTGATGTAGAGGAGTCAGGACAGCAATGCTTTTCCTGTGCACAGGGGATAGTTGCATTCCTATAGCATTGATATGATATTGCTGTACACATCAGACACTGAAAGCAGATGATGGGTATGAAATGCTGGAGTCAGGTGTCTGAACATGCCTGTAGCAGTTTTAGTGTCTTGTGGTTCTCACCAATGCTTGGTATTGTTTGAACAAAGCTTTGGCATTTGGTGCTAAAGGCTGCCCCTCCCCACACTGCTGTTGGCCAATAGGAAAGCATGGGTGTGGCTTGGGAAGATGGTACGACCCTTCACATTCCAGCTTTGCAGGGTTAGGGCTGTTCAGGCAAAGTATACAGAGTTGCTCTTAGTATGTGCCAGCTGGACTTTCTGATCAGTTTTTCAGTATTTAGGTCTTGTATTTTTAAAGTCTTTCATGTGTGTTTTTTAATTTTAGACATTTCTCTAACAAATTTTATTCCAAATTTAAGGTTTGATGCAAGCTTAGTTTTGTTGTGACTGGTACATTAAATGTGTTATGTCTTGTTACTAAATTACTGTTGGCACCAATTAAGGCAGAAGTCATGACTTGTCTATAGAGCTGTAAAGTGCTGGTATACAACTGTAAATTGTTTTTATATTTTTTTTTTCCAGGCCTGGAACTGTGGCCTTGAGAGAAATCAGGAGATACCAGAAGTCTACTGAGCTCCTGATCCGCAAGCTTCCATTCCAGCGTCTGGTGAGGGAAATTGCTCAGGACTTCAAGACAGATCTGAGGTTCCAGAGTGCAGCGATTGGTGCTCTGCAGGTATGGAACTACATATGACTAATGATCTGAAGCCTGTTTGCTTTTTGACTCTTTACACTAATGTACTTTAACATTTTTGTGTTTTTCAGGAAGCAAGTGAGGCATACCTGGTGGGTCTCTTTGAGGACACCAACCTTTGTGCTATTCATGCAAAGAGAGTAACTATTATGCCCAAGGACATCCAGCTAGCAAGAAGAATCCGTGGGGAACGTGCTTAATTTTTTTTTCCTGGATACTGTTTTTGATCTTTAGATTTTTTTTTTTTTCCTTTTTGTTTTTTTACAAATGTACATAAAGTGTGATGTCTCCTTATTTTATAAAGGGTTTGTTAACTGTAGAGTAGTTGACAGTAAATTGGTAGTACACATTTTATATGACATTCCCTTAATCCTCAGGTTTTTCAGAAAATTTGTATCTGCAGCTAGTCTACTTCTGTGGCCCTGCCCATTAAAGAGTCTGCATGCCTTGGCTCCATTCTCTCCATACTTTGGTATCTTTCAGTGTAACTCCATTGTAAATAAACTTTCCACTACCTCAATGGTCTTGCTGTCTTGCGATTTGAGTTGGGTTGAAACAAAAGCTCCCCAGAAATGGGATTTTAAGTCACTTGTTACAGCTTTGGCCAATTTGTACTAGTGGCAAAGAAACAATTGAGCATGGTAGTATGACATTTAGACATGCCACATGGTGCTAGGGTTTTTGGTGGGTAAACATATTTAGGTGTTCCTATATTCTTGCTTTTGGTCTGGACAAAATTCCAAGTTAATTTTTAGATCTAGGAGCTAGCTGAACACAAGTAGTCTGGTAAGCTGTGTGCCTGGGACTTGGTGCGTTCTCTACAGCATGCTGTGGTAATTCATGAACATGCAGTAGCTTTTAAATCATGTGCATACTTGGTATCAGTGTGCAAAAGTGTCTGCAAATGTTTATTCCAAACTATGAAACATGTTCAACAATTTTTACTTAAGTATAATAAATCTGCTTACCTGAATCTTCATCTTTGCTTGTTAACTCTCATCCGACCTGTCCTGTGTAAGTGGTCCTGTGTAAGTGGTCTGGTGTAGTGCATGGGAACTTATCAATGCTGTAACAGTAAGTCTTGTATGTGACACTGTATTGCTCCTACTTGCCATTGGCTTAGGAAACAGCCCTGGTGTGCAGAGGTTGCATCAGTAAAGTACTCAAACTTTTTAATGGGGGGGGGGGGGGGGGGGGGGGCGGGGGTTTTTTTAC